TGTCCACACTACTATTAACTCATTTTGAGCCTATGATTCTAGTGGATAGCGCTATTTGGTTGTTATACCCACCCTTTTTACTGACGAGTAGGGGTGCACTTGGTCATTAAAATTTGCTCTACACATGTGACACGAAGTGGTCACCGCTGAGGTAGTCCGGTAGGAGTTCTACACATGTGGGGTTTACTCCCACCGCTGAGGTAGTCCGGCACGAGTTCTACACATGGGGTTTATTTTGAAAAACAAATAAATAGAAATCTTAAGTCAATTTTGATCATTATCATATGCCTTGCTATTCTTATCATAGCATAGGAAAAAGAAAACTTTTTTTTTCTTACTCATCATCATGGCTTCAAGTAATCTTTTGGCTCTCCATTTTGATAAATCCGCTTCATACTCATCATTTTGAGGAGGAAGACCCCACTTGATGTGCATTGAGAATACATTCCAAGTTTCCTCTTAGCTCTTATAGTTTGACTTTTAGTTGCATGAGCTCATCATACCCACATATTCCTCTTATGTTTTTCCCTCCAAATGACCTCTTTATACTTTCATCAAGCATTTGTCCTTGAAATTGTGAAAAATATGAGATGATTATGAAGGGTTTGACATATGAATGGTATTTATAGAAGAGTCAATCCGCAGACAGTGGTTGACCCTTTTCCAACTTTTTTAGAAATTTTGTATAGATATAATACATAGGTGCATTGTTTTAAAAGGAGAAAGACCCGTCTCTAGCAAGAAGCAGACAAATGCATTTGATGCGTAAATTACAATGTTCTTAAGAAAAAGGAAAAAGGAAAGAGAAAACGAAAGTTTTTTACCAAATCCGTAGTTTATTCAATGTAACAACAAACTGTCAACGAAATTGTGAAATAGTAGCGCATCATAAAACAACTAAATTATTGGCTACTAATAATTTGCAAACTTGATTAAAGCCCATTATACAATAAAAAACAACAAAGAAGGAAGCAATAAACAAAGAAGGAAACATATAAATGTCATAAAAATTCTATAAACAACAAAGGAAACACCAAATTTTACCAGCTTGATTGAGGGAGCTTTTTTTCCTTTAATTTCTACCTCATTGCTTATTATGTTATGCATCATCCAACCATTTAGAACCCTCAAAGTTTCATAAACCAAATTTCAATCTGACCACTTTAGAAGCCTAAAAATCTCACAATAGATCAAATCCCAACCCGACCAATGTATAACCACAAAAATATCACTCGATCCATCTTCGTTTTCTATCAAAAACGAGGGGTTTATTGTGATTTCAACTTGTTTTTTGCATCATCCTCTGAATACTATTTTCATCCATTACTTGATCTGTGAGGCGAGGCAACAAGGAGGAGCCATGGAGGATGGATGACAGTGGAGGAAGGAGCACAGGAGGCGAGGCAACAGGGAGGATTGTTGTAGGGCGGAAGTGAACCGGTAGGGAGGTCGGCAATAAGGAGGCATAGACATTGGGGATGGAAAATGTATTTTATTTCAAGTAGGGTAAAGATAGGGCTGTACATGGGTTAGATTGGGCTGTTTGATGCATTTAAACAACCCAATCTAATTACTAATTACTGTTGTTGGAAAAAATTCCAACCCAACCCAATTTGTTACAAAGTATAACCCAACCCAACCCAACCATTGCAGGTTGGGTTGGCGAGTTGCCATAATTCTTATGAATAAGTATGTGTCTTCAAATTTTTGGTGACTTTGGAGTTTTGTCTATCTTCGATTTAATTCTGTACATATAAAATATAGGTAACATTGAATTATTGATACATAAGTACACACAACGATTGAACAAATTGTGCTTTGAAAAAGATGAAATATTGTTTACATACCAACACTCATGCTTGTTGCTTTCACCCAACCAAGAGATATATGTACATATATATAATTATATATTGCTTAGTTTCACAATTTTTATGCATAACTTAGAGCCTATTTGTTAACAATATGACGAGCTTAATGAATGTCACTAACTTATTTAATCAGCTATACATGAATGTTTGGTAGTGGCTTAATGATATAGAAAGTGGCTTATTCGTAAGCTTGTAGGGGAGAGCTTTATGCAGAAACCCTAGTTTTTCCAAACCTGCCCTCCCAATTAAAAAACATGCTCATTTCATCTATAAAAAGGCCTCTCAAACAAAACCCCTTCTAATCTAGCTATACAAACTGATTAATCAACATAGTTAGCTTTATCCATACATAACTTGATGAAAAGCCAACCAAACAGCCCCTTAGTCCAATTAATTTGTTGCTAATCTGCTATTAAATTTACGATAGATTGCAACAAATAAATAGGAAAACTAGGAATAGGAATGAAGATGATTGTGCTCCAAAAATTATCAAAAAACGAGAATGAGGCTCAAACTAGGTAAATGTAAATAAGATTTTATATTGTATATAAATGTAAAAGAATTTTATCAAATTGTATATATTTGCGTAGGGTTGGCAGGTTGGGTTGGGCCGAGTTAGGTTGAACCCAATTTCAAACCTACTAATTGGCGGGTTGGGTTGGGCTGAGTTAGGTCAAACCCAATTTCAAACCTACTAATTGGCAGGTTTGGCTTAATTGGGTTGTTTGCGGGTTGGATTGGGCGAGTTCAACGGGCTGTGGATCTTTTGTACAACCATATATAGAAATGGAAATGGAGTGGCTATGTGGATTAAGTTAGTGTCTTCGGGTTGAGCTAAGAAGCCCATATCTTAGTCAACAAAGAAGGCACAAATAAACATTGAGGTTTGGCTTATCGAATAAGCTACAAGTCTCATTAAGCCTATTAAGCTCTTTCCAAACACCCGTGAATATGGTATGCGGAGGTGACTATTTTGGATTGAACTCGTTGTCTTACATTTGGTACGACTAGGACAAGACTGAGCAAGTTATCTGAATAATACATGAGAAAATGTTAAAATGACTAGATTGTCCTTCATATGACATGTAAGATTTTGTTTTACAAATGATGTTGGTTATAAATATTCATACATTATACTATCTCTATAAGCATTCATACATGATTTTCATATTATATTTATTCGAATTAATACATAATTTTTATATTTGAAACACATATATCATTTTTATAAATA